AAATTGCATACAAAATGTAAACTCTTTTGTACATCTGAAAAATGATCCTACGTCTGATAGTCTGGCCGTAATCTAGAGAAGAATCGAGCTTATGTTTGTATGTGCTATTAATTTGATGTTCATAATTTATATTTTTAAGGAACATAATCTCTTAAATTGTGATAAGACTACTGGGACCTAAGAATATTAACGGGGAACAAAAGAAAATCAATGAATAGACCCTAAAGTTTCTTGCATGGATAATTCAAAAGTGGGTAACACAACTCCGGGATTCCTTACCATCACCGTAATTTCATATGTGATAACATACTTTTAAGTTTTTATATTTACAATTACTTCAACTAGTTTCTTTAAAATGAAAAATACCTAATCGTGGACCAAGAAAAAAATGAATATATAAGGTTCAAAAAAAAAAAAAAATGAATATATATAACTTCTAGGGTAGATACATTGTTTTGCATCGGACGTATTTGCAGTCTTGCAGGTAAGTTTAGTTAAAATTATTTTAATGATGTTTATAGGCACTTTTGACTTTTATATACGTAGATCCATGAGAATATGAATGGATATGTTATCTATTTCTTGAGAATCTATGGGAACAAATGTTTCGAGCATGAATATTTCCAATGAATCAAAAGGTTACTTAAAATCCTTTGACTAGTAATCGTCTACAGAAATATGTAGGAACACAAAATCAATCATCTAAAAACTCTTTTCTTCGAGCACATAAAATCATTACAACATTTTGGATCAAAACATCATCATACAACGAAGCAGCGAGAGAGCGAGAAATTTTAGACAGAGATTCATACTTTAGCTCGGACTCCTCTACAGAAATATTTGCTCAATTTCTTGAGGCATGTTTACTACAATCTCTGCATATGCTGCAATGAAAGAATAAACACAAATGAATAAATAAACTGTAACAAAAACACAGATCGGTATTTAAACTCTGAAATACCTTCAGGTAGTGATTGGATGCGTAAGGCGTCCTCGGCGAAAGATAAACGCACAGGGATTGTTTGACTTCCAAGTTTACCAAATCTAGGGCTTGTACACTGTCTCTTAAACTGATGATGCATCATCATTGGCCATGCTAGAACTCTCACTTTTGTCGGAAGTTCACACAGAAGATCTCCATATCTCAGGCTCACCATCACCTTGCTTCAATGCAAAAACATATTTTGATTTTGAAAAAGCTCTAAAAACAGAATCTTAAGTGGCAACAAGGTCACATCACTATCTAGTCTAGAAGCAGTTATGGATCCATGAAATTGCTAACCAGTCACAATCGTCTATGGCAAATTCAATCATATGGTAGGGAAGACTGTGATAAAGCTCCCTGATCTGATTCCCATAGAGCTCTTTGATAAGCCGGACCTACAAGAAGATCAGGAGAACCATCCTGTTAACTTGTAAGACTTGAAACTTTCCCTCGAGTTTCCTAAAACTTTTTTAGACCATATATAACCAAAGGTGGTTGCAACAACACACATAAACTTTCAAAGCTCAACACTTTATGGCTGGAATACTATCGGATATGCAAGTCCCTCTAAGGCAACAAGAAACCTCGTGATTTGCATACTATCAGTCTATCACAAGCTTATCTGCGCTAGTAATAATTTTACTTTAAAGAGATATCCATTGAAAAGTTATTTAATCTTAACAAAGCCGATGAAGTGATGATACATTATTGCTGAAAGTCTCTTACTTCAAGTAATGCATTTTTACTAAGAAACAGATCGAATAATTAAACTAGGAGGTTAACAATTTTAAAGAAGTCATGACCCCGATAAACAATGTAAAGGCACATGATAAACTGCTCAGGATATTGATTGACGACAAACCTGTTCCCTCCTGTCCACATATGCTTGTAGAAGTTCCCCAACATTATCTATGAATTTCTGGCATCAAGTTAAAACACAAATTATGAATCAAATAAAGATTTA